AGGAGGAGGAGGAGGAGGAAAAGGACTGTGGGTCCTTGGTGCTCTCTGAGCTTGGTTGTTTTCTTGCAGACGTTTGATAACCCAACTAGGGGACATCATCAGAGCTAGAAGAGAATGAGGTTTAGAGAGAGAGAGGGAGAGAGAGAGAGAGAGGGAGAGGGAGGAGGAAGACGAGGAGGAGGAGGGGGTGGAGGAGGAGGAGGAGGAGAAAAAGGACTATGGGCTCCTTGGTGCTGTCTGAGCTTGGTGGTTTTCTTGCAGACGTTTCATAACCCAACTAGGGAACATCATCAGTGCTAGAAGGGAGGAAGTGGAGGAGAAGGGAGGAGGGGGAGAACTGTAGGGTCCTTGGTGGTCTCTGAGCTTGGTGGTTTTCTTGCAGACATTTCATTACCCAATTAGGTAACATCATCAGTGCTAGAAGAGAGTCAGGTTTAGAGAAACGAGGAGGAGCAGGAGGAAGTCATGGAGGAGGAGGAGGAGGAGGAGAAAAGGAGGAAGACTATGGGATCCTTGGTGCTGTCTGAGATTGGTGGTTTTCTTGCAGACGTTTCATAACCCAACTAGGGGACATCATCAGAGCTAGAAGGGAATGGAGTTTCAGAGAGAGGAGGAGGAGGAGGAGGAGGAGGAGGGGGAGGAGAAGCGCTTGGTTTTTTTTTTCTTGCAGACGTTTCATGACCCAACTAAGTAACATCATCAGTGCTATAAGGAAGTGGGATTTGTGGAGAGGAGGAGGAGGAGAACAGTGTTTCATTACCAAACCAGGTAACATCAACAGTGTGCTGATTCTGCTGCCTAGTTTGGTAATGAAACGCCTGCAAAACAACCAAACTCAGAGGGCACCAAGGACCCCACAGTTGTCCTCCCTCTCTCTGTCCTCCCTTATGCAGGCCCCACTTGCTTGTAGCACTGATGATGTTACCTAGCTGGGTCATGAAACGTCTGCAAGAAAACAACCAAGCTCATTCCTACTGTGTATAAACAGGGAGCGAGTCCCACTCACCAGAACTCATAAGTCCCTTTTTTTCATTTCCATTTGAGATGCAAAAGCGATCCTTACCTTGCCATCTTCCGTGTAGACATTTTCATGGAAACCTTTGACGATTGTCCGGTCGATGAAGAGGCTTCTCATCACGACAATCACTTTTAATACCTTTCCCAAAGTTACCTTTGGGAGGGGAAAAAAACAACAACAGAAAAAGGGAATTGAATGCAGAGAATGAAACAGATTATCCAATAGAGGGAGTCCTCAACTTATGACTGTGGTTAGGACCGGAATTTCCCCTTACCGGCGCAAGGCCGTTGTTAAGCGGACCATTGCGATGTTTAAGTGAACCCCACAGTCAAGAAGCGAATCCAAATTCTCCCATCGACTTCGTTTCCCAGAAAGCTGACTGTGGAAAAGCCGCAAAAGGATGTTAAGTGAGTCAGGCTCCCCCCCCCATTGGCTTTGCAGGTCGCAAAAGGGGGAAATCACCTGATACCCCCTGGGATGCTATAACTGTTCTACGCCTGCGGTGGTTGCCAAGTGCCCGGATTTCGATCCCGTGACTATGAAGATGTTGCGACGGTCATAAGTGTGAGAACTGACTGCAACTCACTCCCCCCCCAAGTAACGTTGTAACTTCAAACGGTCGCTAAACGAATGGTTGTAAGTCAAGGACCATCTGAAAGCTTAAAGCAGAGATGTCAAACAAAAGGCCCGCGGCCCGGGTCCGGCCCGTGATGTGGTTGGATCCAGCCCGCGGGCCATCCCCGAATATGTAAGGGCCCGGCCCATTTTCAGCCTGGTCTACCCACCGTGAAGAAGAAAAACGAGGCCAGCAGTTTGGGGAGTGGCGTCAAGTTGGCCACACTGATCAGGTCGGCCACGCCCAGCCCCCCCCCGCCCCCCCAGGAAGTCAACCACAGCCCTGATGCAGCCCTCAATGAAATTGAGTTTGACACCCCTGGTTGAAAGGGTCTCACCTCTGCCTAGGTATGAACAGAAGCCGGGGTCGCAGTTTTAACTATTTTATTTTATTATGATCATTTTTCAATTCAATCCAGAGAAAAACAGTAAAATTCTCCGTGTGAGTTAGCTCCGGCATCTTAGAAAGGGATTCCTCCTCTGAGCATCGTGTTGCCAAATGACTAAGGGGGGGGGGATTTTAGCCGCTTACAGGAAGCCTAGGGTGGATCGGTGGCTAAGACGCTGAGCTTGTCAATCAGAAAGGTCGGCAGTTCGGCGGTTCAAATCCCTAGCGCCGCGTAACGGAGTGAGCTTGTCCCAGCTTCAGTAGTTCAAAAGCAGGTTAAAAAATGCAAGTAGAAAAATAGGAACCACCTTTGGTGGGAAGGAAACAGCGTTCTGTGCGCCTTTGGGTGTTGAGTCATGCCGGCCGCATGACCACAGAGACGTCTTCGGACAGCACTGGCTCTTCGGCTTTGAAACGGAGATGAATGAGCACCGCCCCCTAGAGTTGGGAACGACTAGCACATATGTGCGAGGGGAACCTTGACCTTTACTTTAACTTAACAACTGCAGTGATTCGCTTGGCCCACGATGGTGAGAAAGGTTGAAAGAATAAGGGGCCATATTCAGGGGGGGGGGGGCTGCTGGGTGTTCACACGGGTTCGGACAATTCTCTAGCTAGGATTCTGCCCAGTTCGGCGGACCCCAAAATGCCATCCCTGGCTGGCCACGCCCTGCCCACCCTGCCCCTCCCAGGAGTCTCCACACAGCCCAGCCCATTCAACATGCTGGCTCTTCGGCTTTGAAATGGAAATGAGCATCGCCCGCTAGAGTCCAGAACGACTAGCACAGATGTGTGCGGGGTCGTTTGGGGCTCCGTTACGATCATTAAGGACTGCCTGCGTAACGGAGACCACCTCACCACTAGCAAGGTGTATAAGGGGTGTCAGATCCACGTAGCTTCGTCCTCGCTTTGAAGAGGGTCCTCCTTGATTACAAAAATGGGATGGCTTTCTGGATTCTGGATTTAAAAGCTGGTGGGAACTTCCGCCCCGTACGTGAAGACCTGCCAAAACAATTCGGCACGGCGGGGGCTCGCTTCAGCTCGTCAACACTTGCTTAAATCCCTCACAACAGGTGTGGCCACACGAAAAGCTTCCAACTTCGCAGCAAGGTTGTGTCGGCCCTGGAAAAACCAGCAGCTGTTGTGGTGACGGAGGAAGCCAAGGAAAATTGGGAAGCAGTTGAACGAGATGATCGTTAACGGCCAGATCCAGAAAGCGAGCCAAAGAACGAAGGTGGTGTGGTAGCGCAGTGTGAGTGACGCATTGCAGGCGGTCCGTGATGTCCAGTCGTACAGATAGTCCTCGGCTTATGACCAAGTTGAGCCCCAAATTTCTGTGGCTAACTGAGATGGTTGTTTGGTTAGTTGGGCCCCCAGTTTTACGGCCTTGTTTAGTGCACTGCTGTAGTTGTTAAGTTAGTGAGTAACTTGTTAAGAAGAAGACGATGATGGAGGGAAAGGAGGAGGAGATGGAAGAGGAGGAGGAGGAAGATGGGGGGAGAAATGGAGAGAAAGAACACAATGGGGAGAAAGGAAGAAAAATGGGTGAGGAAGAGAAGATGATGGAGAGAAAGGAGAAAGAGGCGATGGAGAGAAAGGAGGAAGGGATGGAGAGAAATGAGTAGGAGGGGATGGCGAGAAGAGGATGGTGAGAAAGGAGAAGATGATAATGGAGAGGAAAGAGAAGGACAGAAAGGGGAAGGCAATGGCAAGAAAGGAGAAGATGATGGAGAGAAGGGGATGGAGAGAAAGGAGAAGAAGATGATGGAGAGGAAAGAGAAGAAGAGAAAGGAGAAGGCAATGGCAAGAAAGGAGAAGATGATGGAGAGAAGGGGATGGAGAGAAAGGAGAAGATGATGATGGAGAGGAAAGAGAAGAAGAGAAAGGAGAAGGCAATGGCAAGAAAGGAGAAGATGATGGAGAGAAGGGGATGGAGAGAAAGGAGAAGAAGATGATGGAGAGGAAAGAGAAGAAGAGAAAGGAGAAGGCAATGGCAAGAAAGGAGAAGATGATGGAGAGAAGGGGATGGAGAGAAAGGAGAAGATGATGATGGAGAGGAAAGAGAAGAAGAGAAAGGAGAAGGCAATGGCAAGAAAGGAGAAGATGATGGAGAGAAGGGGATGGAGAGANGTCAGCGACGCGGTTTAATCGGGCGCGCTTTAGTCGAGCGCGGTTTTGTCGTGCCACGGTTCTAATAATCCATTGAAGTCTGCGTCGGTCTTGTTGGGTTGCAGAGCCAAACCAGACAGTTATGGAGCTGCAGATGACAGACTCAATCATACTTCTGTAGAACAGAATCAGCAAATTATAGATTAAAAAACATAATATGCAATCTAATTATATAATATATTATAATATAATTATAAATAAAAAAACCAGTAGTAGCGCTGGTGCCAAAATCTTTTATTGATTTCCTCTTCCGACAGAGTCCCCAAAAGCGAACGAACAACAGTGCATAAAAACTTGATCTTCGCCTTGGCTGCTGCAGAAGCCTTGTTAATGTTCAGTGAATTGGCCAAGATCAACCAGGTCAGGAGAAGGCTTGGGAAACAGGAGGAGAACCACCTGGGAGGGTGTCCTACCTGCGTTAGCTGAATGTGGGGAGGCCACAGAGAATCTCCTCCTTCCCCCAGACATCTGACTGTAGGTCTCCCCATCTCTCCCCAGGGTGTTTGCTTCGCGGTCACCGCCTTTCTCCACCTCTTCTTCATGGCGGCCTTTGCTTGGATGTTGGTGGAAGGTCTTCTGCTGTGGAGCAAAGTGGTGGCCGTCAACATGAGTGAGGATCGGAGGATGCGGTTCTACTATGTGACCGGTTGGGGTCTGTATCCTGGAGATCAAGAAGAGGGACGAGGCAATGAGAAGACCGGGCTAGATTTCTTCTTCCTTTGACCTAGTTGACCCAACTTGTTCAAACCTAAGATGGAGTAGATCAGAGGTCTACTGTGAGCCCAACTCTGTTCTCTCCACTCATTGTACAACGATGGGAAGGAATGGAGTGGAGGTCCGGTAGGGAAGGACCACATGGGGGAAAGAGTAGTTGAGTCCATTGGATGGGAGATGGCCAACTCCTCATGGCGATTAGACATCTAGCTGGGTTGGATTGACATGAACCATAAATAAGCCAACAATTTGGTAGATACCCAACATGGTGCAAACAAAACCCATTAGTATATGGTTGAATGGGTTATGCAAATGCAGCCAAACATTTTGAGTAAACCAAAATTCATTGGGCCACGTAGTTACAAGACACTAATCATGTTTTATTTGAAGCTTGGAGAAGACTACTTGGGTGAGCTTCATTCGGTAGACCAGAAAGAGAACCACATGTGCTGGTTAGAAACAAGGAAAGAGGTCAACTGGGGTTCTTCCTCAAGGGCCAAGTGGTCCATGGGAGATGGGATGAAGACGCTGACCTACCAATCTCTCCCTCCTTTTCCAGGGCTTCCTGTGCTGATTGTTGGCGTCACCTTGGCCACTTCGTTCAACAATTACGTGGCGGAGAACCACTGTTGGTTGAATGTCCAGACAGAAGTCATCTGGGCTTTCGTGGGACCTGTCCTCTTTGTCCTAACAGTAAGGGTCCTTAGTGGAACTCCTGGCCTTCCTCATCCAACCTCTGGTTTTGAAGGCCCAGAAATAGGGGCTTTTCCTGCCCAAGAGGTTGCTTGCAACTTCAACGTCAAATTTCATTTGAGGTGTGATCATTCTTGGTGGTCCAGAAAGAGAATTTGGGGATCGTTCTTTACAGTCCTTGGAAGTCTTAATTGATGTCATTTTCCTTTAGGTCAACACCTTTGTGCTGTTTCGGGTGGTGATGGTGACTGTCTCCAGTGCACGGCGTCGGTCGCGGATGCTGACTCCCAACAGCAGTCTGGAGAAACAGATTGGGGTTCAAATCTGGTGAGTCAGACCCGTGTGTGCCCGTGCTCCTTCTTGAGGGTGCACCTGAGGGCAGGACGAGAAGCAACGGGTGGAAATGAATCAAGGAGAGAAGCAACCTAGAATGAAGGAGAACTTTCCTGACAGTTAGAACATTTAATCAGTGGAACAAGTTGCCTCCAGAAGGTGTGAATGCCTCAACACTGGAAGTCTTTAAGATGATGTTGGATAGCCATTTGTCGTGGTGGAGGGTTTCCTGCCTAGGCAGGGGGGGGTTGGAAGGTCCCTTCCAACTCTGCTATTGTATTGTATTGTATAAATGAATTGAATTTAACTCGAATTAATTTAATTTTAAAAGAGCAACCTGGATCGTTTTTCTGAGCAACGGAAGGTCCCTTCCAACTCTGCTATTGTATTGTATTGTATTGTATTGTATTGTATTGTATTGTATTGTATTGTATTGTATTGTATTGTATTGTATTC